AGAGACACAAGTCATGCTGTTCAGAGTTTATTCATGGGTCGCGGCAGTGAATTAAAGCAGTTTTAACGAGACCCTCGCCTCTCTTTACTAGATCACGTATTTGCACTATTTATGTACCTTATTACATACAGTAGAGCCATGTTTAGCAAAGGAAAGAGTGTAGTTTCATTAAAGCATATTTGAATAAATACGCATTAATTTCCTTTTAGTTTTAATTTATTTAAATACTTAATTATTCAGTAAACTTGTCATTTTAAGTATGCATAGCATTACGAAATGTTTGAAAATGATTGATTTAATCAGGTAAAGTTAGGGCCACATGGCCATCTTTTACACTTAACCTGTTCAAATGTTTGATTGTTGTTTAAATAAGTCGTTCTAACGAACATATAATAAATCCCAGAAGACTGTATTAAGTTTCGGTAGGGAAAATGAAATTGTGAAATTGGTACTGTATTTAGATACGGTTTGAATCTGTAATCTGTAATGAAAGTATAGTATAGTAATCTTATAGATATTCATAAAATAAAAAATTTCTCTACAAGTGAAGAATCAGTTATAATTTTCTCTTGAAGAAATTCAAATATGTAATAAAATGTCGAAGAAAATGTTTTTTTTTACCATTTAACTACAGATTCATTCTTTAATTTTTTGTTAAACATTTGAACATTGACGTCAATTGTACGTTCGATATAGAAATGCATGGACTTCGCATGAACTTTATGAAAATACAGTATAGATACACATAACCATCCCTTTACTAAAGGTAAAACATATGTGTTTATTTTAAATTATCGCACAAATTTAAAGACCTAGAAAGACTAAATGTACCAAATAAAAAAAACATATTTAAGATTAGATGTTAGTGGTGGACTTTCAATTTTACATTAAATATTATGTACGCAGATCTCATGGTCAGTAAACACTGCTATATGCTTGTGATTAAAAGCTAAGCCCTTTTCACACAGATAACCAACAAGTTTTAAAACGGGAAAGCTGTTGAATAACTTACACGCCTCTAGGTTGAGATTTTCATTTCTCGTTAAGTTGCCGGTCGCCGTAAGTGAATTAGAGCAGTTTTATGCCTCCCGCTGTACCACTTATACCGTCGCTACGATCTTTTAACACGCGCAAGATAAAAAATAGTGAGATTACTTCGGAAATGTGAGAGATCTAAATTAATACCAAATGAATACTTTTACAGCTTAAATTATAGTTAACTAGAAAATTCAAAATATGTCGGTTACATAGTTATGACGAGAGTTTTAGTTTATATTTCAATAAAACGTAATCATTAGAGAATTTAGTTATTAAGTTACCAGGAGAATGAACTTATTAATTAAATCATATTTTTTTGAATAACAGGCTATAAAACATGAAAAAGTCAAATGGGCCTAAATATTTTTGAAACATAGTAAATAAACACAAAAAATAAAACTAAAATATAACTCTTTTCTGTATTACTTAATTTGTTTTTGTTATGGAATTTGTAGACATAGGAAACTGCTGCTTGTGTGTCTGCTGGGTTACTAGTCCAGAGAATTGGTGTTTTGGGAGAATTGGATAAGTGTGGATTTAATGTTAATTACTGTTGGGATTTACCACACAAGTATGGTACAGTACCAGGGCTGGGTACCTCGCGACCAGTCCGTTTCTCATTATAGGACTCAGTAATAACACTGGGAAGGATTAACACACGAGTATGGTACCAGGGTTGGGTACCTCGCGACCAGTCCGCTTCGCATTATAGGACTCAGTAATAACACTGGGAAGGATTAACACACGAGTATGGTACCAGGGTTGGGTACCTCGCGACCAGTCCGCTTCGCATTATAGGACTCAGTAATAACACTGGGAAGGATTAACACACGAGTATGGTACCAGGGTTGGGTACCTCGCGACCAGTCCGCTTCGCATTATAGGACTCAGTAATAACACTGGGAAGGATTAACACACGAGTATGGTACCAGGGCTGGGTACCTCGCGACCAGTCCGTTTCTCATTATAGGACTCAGTAATAACACTGGGAAGGATTAACACACGAGTATGGTACCAGGGTTGGGTACCTCGCGACCAGTCCGCTTCGCATTATAGGACTCAGTAATAACACTGGGAAGGATTAACACACGAGTATGGTACCAGGGTTGGGTACCTCGCGACCAGTCCGCTTCGCATTATAGGACTCAGTAATAACACTGGGAAGGATTAACACACGAGTATGGTACCAGGGTTGGGTACCTCGCGACCAGTCCGCTTCGCATTATAGGACTCAGTAATAACACTGGGAAGGATTAACACACGAGTATGGTACCAGGGTTGGGTACCTCGCGACCAGTCCGCTTCGCATTATAGGACTCAGTAATAACACTGGGAAGGATTAACACACGAGTATGGTACCAGGGCTGGGTACCTCGCGACCAGTCCGTTTCGCATTATAGGACTCAGTAATAACACTGGGAAGGATTAACACACGAGTATGGTACCAGGGTTGGGTACCTCGCGACCAGTCCGCTTCGCATTATAGGACTCAGTAATAACACTGGGAAGGATTAACACACGAGTATGGTACCAGGGCTGGGTACCTCGCGACCAGTCCGTTTCGCATTATAGGACTCAGTAATAACACTGGGAAGGATTAACACACGAGTATGGTACCAGGGTTGGGTACCTCGCGACCAGTCCGCTTCGCATTATAGGACTCAGTAATAACACTGGGAAGGATTAACACACGAGTATGGTACCAGGGCTGGGTACCTCGCGACCAGTCCGCTTCGCATTATAGGACTCAGTAATAACACTGGGAAGGATTAACACACGAGTATGGTACCAGGGCTGGGTACCTCGCGACCAGTCCGTTTCTCATTATAGGACTCAGTAATAACACTGGGAAGGATTAACACACGAGTATGGTACCAGGGTTGGGTACCTCGCGACCAGTCCGCTTCGCATTATAGGACTCAGTAATAACACTGGGAAGGATTAACACACGAGTATGGTACCAGGGTTGGGTACCTCGCGACCAGTCCGCTTCGCATTATAGGACTCAGTAATAACACTGGGAAGGATTAACACACGAGTATGGTACCAGGGTTGGGTACCTCGCGACCAGTCCGCTTCGCATTATAGGACTCAGTAATAACACTGGGAAGGATTAACACACGAGTATGGTACCAGGGTTGGGTACCTCGCGACCAGTCCGCTTCGCATTATAGGACTCAGTAATAACACTGGGAAGGATTAACACACGAGTATGGTACCAGGGCTGGGTACCTCGCGACCAGTCCGTTTCGCATTATAGGACTCAGTAATAACACTGGGAAGGATTAACACACGAGTATGGTACCAGGGTTGGGTACCTCGCGACCAGTCCGCTTCGCATTATAGGACTCAGTAATAACACTGGGAAGGATTAACACACGAGTATGGTACCAGGGCTGGGTACCTCGCGACCAGTCCGTTTCGCATTATAGGACTCAGTAATAACCCTGGGAAGGATTAACACACGAGTATGGTACCAGGGTTGGGTACCTCGCGACCAGTCCGCTTCGCATTATAGGACTCAGTAATAACACTGGGAAGGATTAACACACGAGTATGGTACCAGGGCTGGGTACCTCGCGACCAGTCCGCTTCGCATTATAGGACTCAGTAATAACACTGGGAAGGATTAACACACGAGTATGGTACCAGGGCTGGGTACCTCGCCACCAGTCCGCTTCGCATTATAGGACTCAGTAATAACACTGGGAAGGATTAACACACGAGTATGGTACCAGGGTTGGGTACCTCGCGACCAGTCCGCTTCGCATTATAGGACTCAGTAATAACACTGGGAAGGATTAACACATGAGTATGGTACCAGGGTTGGGTACCTCGCGACCAGTCCGCTTCGCATTATAGGACTCAGTAATAACACTGGGAAGGATTAACAGACGAGTATGGTACCAGGGTTGGGTACCTCGCGACCAGTCCGCTTCGCATTATAGGACTCAGTAATAACACTGGGAAGGATTAACACACGAGTATGGTACCAGGGCTGGGTACCTCGCCACCAGTCCGCTTCGCATTATAGGACTCAGTAATAACACTGGGAAGGATTAACACACGAGTATGGTACCAGGGTTGGGTACCTCGCGACCAGTCATGTTGTATCCATCGGCGTGTTGACAACAACTTGGGGAGTATAATTGCCCAAGTTCAAGTAAGTAAGCCTAAAGTAGTTTTTTACATTTTTGTTTATAGGTCTACCTAAATCGCATAAGAGTGTCATGTTAAGGAAAATATCAGAATGCATTCTCAAAAACCACCTTATATTTGTAGAATATAGGACGAGTAACAAACGCCCAACACAAACAACTACTTTTGGCAATGTTTTGATATAATTAAATGAGGAATACTAGGTTGAAAACGACGCTTTTCATAATGTTAAATGTACAAAATTTAAGAAAACACACGGTAAATATGATACCAGTGATAACTAGAGGTATATTAAATTTTAGAGGTGGTTAAGACAGTAACTCATACTTTGATAGTTAAAACTTTATGGGCTAAAAAGGTGTTTTCTCACCTTAACAGCAAGCAGAATTATAAGAAAATAATGCACAATTATAAGAAAATATAGAATATTTGATATGAAATTGGGTTGCAAGTTTAAATATCAAATAAAGCTTTTGTTGAAATAAATTTGCCCGTTTATAGAACTAATCATCCATCTTCGTGAAAACGATATTTCGTTCAGTGACAGTTACAAGTCCCACAGTTAAAGGGGAATAATTTAAACGGTTTATCTCTTCATTTAAATACGTTTATCGTGTGTATTTCTCACTTATTCAAATGACTGAAGCAAAAACGGCCGAATATTTAATTGTCTAAAAAATTACATTTCTTATTTCTATGAAGGGGTTTACTACGACTATCCTTTAATTAGTGTTAAAAAATATAATATATAAGTCATGACCACTTAACTGTGTAAAACTATTATATTATTCTGCACAGCTTACCAGAGGGCGCAGAGAAGTCGACGTCCTCGGAATACATTTAAACTACATGAAAAAGGAAAGGTAAAAATGTCACAGAGAATGTTCCAAAAATCGTCAACAAAGAGACTTTAGTGTCGCGGTCCTCCGAATAGAAGAAACTTCAACTGAGACCGCACGAGTCTGATGTATGGTTTCAGGGAAGCCCAGCACTGAGTACACTGCCAATCCCATTCCGTATCAAGTTTCGCAGAAAAAAGGAATATAGCTTAACTAATAGTATTAAGATGGCCAAGTATATGATACTTTGCAGCTTATTTATGCTTTATACTGTAAGTTCTACTAATTTAAACAAGTTCAATGTTATTTCATTGATGAAAAGCAATTAACATGCATTTTAATTAGCTAATTACATTCTTTGAATAGTCAAGGCACAGCTATCGCTAGGTAAACGTTAAAGCAAATTTAAACGCTTGATTACATTCGGCGCAAAACTGATTATTACTATCGAAGTTGAGAGAATATAACTAAAATATGTTTTTATATATTCATGCTGATTATTAAGACACATGAAGACACATATTTTCTATATTTTCGAAGTTGTATCCACCTATCAAGAACCTTATTTGTATCTAACATGATATTTCACCTCACTAATGATACAAATGATCTAGAGCCGGCAAAAGATCATTTTTTGCCCTAGGAAAGAAATATACTATTGCTATTCATCTTCGATTGCATTCGGTAAGAAAAAGTAAACACGTTTAAAAAAGTGATGCAAAAGGACAGTGGTGGGTCTGGGGGGGGGGGGGGCTAGAGGCTAAAACTCCCCATTGGATAAATAAATTTAAACACTACTTCGACCTAAAATCGTAATGGTGGTTTTCTTTACAGTTCTAGAAAGTGACCATTAATCATCAACCACCAAATTTTAAAATAAATCCCCCCGGACCCCATCCTTTCATTCTACACCCCGTACCCCCCGTTAGCCCATCACCTTGAACAAGGTCCCAGAACCTCCACTGGGCAAAGATTGACGAGCTTCTGCACCAAACACGATGTATAAAACCCCTATGGAAACATGGCAGTTGATGGGTTACCGTACTTAATAAAACTAATTAATTATAAAATAAAAACAAAACATATTTATGATGTATACAAATAATTTTCATTTCAGTTGATGGGGTTTTGAAATAAATGGCTCCATAATAAAAAATCCAACTTCTATTTAAAATCTTATTTTTCACCACACTATGATGTTTTACATACGTTAATTAGAGGCTGAAAGTTACGTTTTGCTGGCCATGCCAGCTGTCATCGTCATACGGGGACCGAGCAAGTTTTTACATCCCTAGGGCCTCAAAATCAGCTGCCAGCTTGCATATTACTCTTTGCTGCACGGAACCATCCCTAGATCTGTGACCCCATGTTGCACGGAACTATGACAAATGCAAAAATGCTTGTTTTTAATTGTTTTGACCTATCACCTAGCAACGTATAACTTAAATAAATTATGGGAAAACAACTTTATATTGTATAACGAAACCATAAGTTCATTTTCCATTTAGAATAAGTATAATCAGTAATAAACTTACCTCTATAATCATGAAAGTATCAATGATAACAGTAAACACCAACACGATCACATGTGAATGTCTCTGAACACAATAAATAAATAGGTTTCCCTCAAATACCCACATACCCTATCTAGTGGTGATGTGTTGAACTACAGGGGAACAGTTCCGAAATAATAGCGCTGTGTGTCTGGTTGGAAAAAAATAATCATGTGGTGTTACACAAAGTGTAACACTGTGAAACAATGGACAAACATTTGGTGTTACATTTACTGTAACACTATGCTGCAATGAGTTAAATACACAAACAGTATCCATAGCACTGCAATAGAATTGTTTTATTTTCACCGTTGCCTAACAACAGTTTATTATTATTTTTGCTGATACCTGAAATTACTTCTTCACATAACCTTAAAGTTGCGTTGACTATCAGTGTGCATTAATTATTCTTGTGAATAGTCGTAGTGTGGTGAAATAGTATATTTCGTACATAGGGGCGAAAATGAGGGTTTGCCGGCTCAAGATACTTTTTAATTAATCGAACGAGAGCTACAAAACCATTTCGGTCCGTGGTACGAACGCTATTTTTCACCACACTATACCCTATTACTACTATTCACCACTATAATAATGCACACTGATAGTCAACACAACTACAACTTTAAGGTTATGTGAAGAAATAATTTGAGGAATCAGCAAAAATAAAAATAAATAGTTGCTAGGCAACAGTGACAATAACACCAATTCTATTGCAATGCTATGGTTTTTGATTGTGTATTTAAAATGCATTCATGTTTTAAGTAAGTAAGTGGACAGCTGATTTTGCGGACCCGGGCTGTAAAAACCTGTAAAAACTATCTCGAGCCGGCAAAACCTCATTTTCGGCCCTAGGTACGAAATATACTATTTAGCTACTTTCCCATAGTTCGATTTTGTCGGGTATGTTATAAAGCAGCATTTGTTGAGCTGAATACCACTTCAATCGCTTATGAAGCAATTTTGCCCAGGTCAAATAATAATTTTACTAGACTAAGTATATTTCTTCCAATTGTGTGTGTCAAGGAACTGTATGTAGTGCCAGTGCCAAGGCTGAGTCGACGCTAGTCAAAGTTTATTCACGGCTCTGGTAAGTGAATCAAAGCTGTTTAACGAGCCCTTTCCGCCGTCTACCTCTGCTAATCCTGTCAATTTGCATTCCTCGTGTTTTCTCTTACCATTATAAGCCGCTACTGTATTGCATATAGGTGAAACTCGTGTTATAGAGATGGATCATGAGGCTTCTCGTGGCTCGATTTTGAATCCTGCCAATAACCAAGGGCTCTCAAAACCATATGATTATCCATGATCCAGAGGTTCAAACTCTTTGCTTATGTGTGTGTGTAGCCTATGTGCCCTAGTTTGTCAAATTTGTATGCTGCGACTGGGTCCCTGCATTCAATCTTTGCTTTTCAGAGACTTAATTTCAGAGTATTATCAGAGACTACCAACACAAGTAGATTACTCATCCCACCGTAAAATCTGCAGATTATTTTTCATGTTTAGTTTATGTTAGTGACACAGGGCACTAGTGTTGACGATATTTTGTTACTATTATTTCAGGGTTGAATTGATGATTAGTGCTTTGCTGTTGAGCTATAACATAAGGAAGAGTTATAGTTTATAATTAGATTGTTTTATTGGTTTAAACTAGGTATTAAATAACTGTAATTTAACAAGAAAAATTTTAAACAAAAACACGATCCTAGTGGCACTGGTCGGTACTAAGGGATTATGTTTAATCTAATGTATTATTTATTATACATACAGTTGAACCTCTATAAGACGAATTTCAAGGGGTACGGGAAAAATTCGTACTATAGAGGTATTCTTAATAAAGAGGGTCGTTTTATCGAGGTTTAATGCTGCTGTTATTCTTCTTATAGAGGTTTCTCCTCGCTCCAAGGTTTTTCCAAACAATGACTGAGGAAGGAGGAGGGATGGGTGGGGGATTCATGTTGAGACAAGCTTCTGTTTGTTTTGAAAACTACGTACTATGGAGGTTAAGATTATGATAAATTCGTCTTATAGAGGTCACGTTCGTCTTGTAGAGGTTTTGTGCTAAGATTATTCGTTGTATAGAGGTTAATCAGTCCTAGCCCATGTCACAAACAAATTCGTCTTATGGAGGTTTTTAACTTAATTACTACGTTGTATAGAGGTGTTTTTAGCATTGACCTATATGAAAGTGCCAAGGGGATTAAAAAAAATTCGTCTTATCGAGGAATTCGTTTTATCGAGGTTCGTACAAACGAGGTTCAACTGTATTATGTAACATTATAGTTCCGAAATATATTTATATGATTTTAATTTATTTGAAAGAAAACTATTTGAGTTGATAGATATTTTGACCGAGTTTTGAGTTTTTGCTTGAAAATTTGTAACTTGATAGCTAAAAAAACCAAAAAAAGTTCACTTCATGCGCTCCAATGTGAAATTAATAGTTTAGGAACAGTTAATTATTTTGCCTTAACCTAAAGATAAGAGACTATCAAGATTTACCATGGAAGGAAAACTTTATTAGAGGGTAGTTTATTATTTTCGTAAATATTATTATCAATTAATTTATAAACATAGGTACTAGATTTAAGAAAAGTTCTTAATCAAGTCCAATTTCACAACTGTCCGTGTCTGTTACCACTAAAACTGTTACTGCGTTGGCGAGGAATGTTTTCTTTCCATCGTCAGAATGAAGACCAATATTTAGATAACTGAGTGGAATTCCCGATTTAAAACTCAATCTTTAAATCAAAAGCTTTCATTAAATGCCACATTCTCTCCTTTGCCTAAAATGTGAATTGTACCAATATCTGTGACTTATAAATTCAGCTACCACAGAACTATCGAGATACAAAGTAGACAAAAACATTAGACAAAGACATTAAAACATTACACAATACCTTACATGTATGAGATGTGTACCTTTATGTATGTGTGTTACATGTATGTTAGGTGTATGAGGTGTGGTGTGTATGGGTGATACATGATGCCTTATCGTTCTGGATGTATACAGTAATTATTTTTGCTCTAAATACGAAATGTTATTTAGTGATATAGTCACAAGGTATAATACTTGCAGCATCTATGTAAAAGGCAAAGTTAATAGAGCAGGAGGTCATGTGTAAGTTGTAGGGTATTTCCAAATTGTCTGGACATATTTTTTGGACTTGTTCCTTGGGGTAAGACAAAAATAAAATGCAATATAAGTATGGGTCTAAAATGCCTGGATTTCTGTTTGTCGGTCTATTTGTGATTTTTGAGAATTATTTTATATATTTGACATTTTTCAAGATAAAAATGTTCAAAATTGGTAGAAATGTGTATTTTTCAGTTACGCAATTTAATAGGACTTCCATATTGTTTACTAGTATTTGTTATTTAACAGAGCAGTATGGTTGTTAGTCCTATTAAGTTGCGTAACTGAATGTAGAAAAAAAAAACAAAAAACGGATAACTAGGTTGTTTGTCATCCTATTTTATTAAACAACGTCTGATTTGGACTTACATTTTCTATCT